CCCTGTCCTTATCTTGACCCACAAGCCTTTCTTGACCCTTTAAACCTTTTCTCCCCTGTCTAGTGAACGAGGGGAGTGATACAGCGGCTCTGGTGGGCACATGGCCTCCAGCCAGGGTCAACCCACCACACATGACAAGAAGTGGCAGACACAAAGTGTTACATACTGACTGCAACCACCTTTCCCCATCCCCTGCTGTGCTCCTTGGGGTGGGGGAGGCGGTAGAGGAGTCAGGAGTGAAATTGAGCCTGAAAAGAAGGGAGGGGTGCAGAGAGTTTGTTTTTAGTTTTGTCTTTTCAAAGATTTTTTCATTCTCCTACTCTGTTTTTAATTGGCAATAATTGGCAACTCCCCAAGTTGAATCTGTTTTGCCTGTGACAGTAATTGGTAAGCGATCTCCCTGTCTTTATCTCAACCCATGAGCTTTTCCATCTTACATTCTTCTCCTTGTTCTGTCGAGGAGGGGAGTGACAGAGAGGCTGGGTGGGCACCTGGCAGCCAGACAAGATCAACCCACAGCAGTTGGCAATAGCTTTGTATTGTTATTTTCTGTTAACAGCAAACCTCTGCTCAAAGTGTTGCACTTTCTTACCTGTTCTACTGGGACTAAAGCTTTGCCCTTTCCTTTGTTCATAAGATACATATCCATGAACATTTCTGAAGTGACACCATCCATAAGCTTAATGAAGCCCTGATTACCCAGGAGCATTAGTGGTGAGAACAAAGGGACAAAGATCTGTGAACCCAAGCTGCCAAGGGAGAAGGGTCTTTTGAGACTGGGGAAAACTGAAACCACAAATAAGAGTTGTATACAATGAAGATGTATTATTTTCAAACAAACTTCACAGCAAGCAGAAGCTGAATATTTTATACAAATAGTCCTCCAGAGTATCTTTTATGATGGGGCCCTTCCACTTCTTATGTCTGCGGATAAGCCTTTAAGAGGCATACTAGTGGTGGTGTTTCCATCTTGCACCCCATTTTCAGTTTTCAGCTCCTGCCCTTAAAAAAGTTATAAAAAATACAAAACAGGTAAATGAGATTCAAGAAGCAAGACTTAAGTCTAATGCCCTTTCCTCTGAGCAGACATACTTTTCATCCATATTTTCTAATGGGTAACTGCTGATGTGGGAGAACACAAGAGTCAAGCACACTGCTATGGTGAGTTCCAACAAATATCTGTTGAGGCAATGTGTTTATCCTTTTCTGCTTCTAAACAAACTACTGTGAGACTGACAATGGCTGCAGAAGTAATTCTGATCTTCTAAAAAATGTTTTTATTTTATTACTTTTCCACTGTGTTTTTAACAATATGCTGAAAAAAATAGAGAAATTGAGGTGCTTTCTAAATTTTCTTTCAGATTGTTGTTACCTGGGCAAAAAGAGCAAACATCTTTCTCTATTTTTCACTGCAAATTTGAGGATCTTCTTTGGTAAGAGGGATGTTACTTCAGAGGGTAACAGGTATGCTTTTTCTCTAAGCATAGAATAAGTTGTCGCTGGTGAAAGACCATAAGACTGGAGTAAAATAGTTTCAGATTTCATGATTCAGTTTGTCATTCTCATGTTCCTGTGACATCTTCCTCTTTAAGTATGCTTGAAGCATTTCCCTGGTTTCATTAACCATCTTGCTTGAACAGTAATGCTGATATTTAGTTCTTCACCTTGTTTTGGATTTGGTTTTTTGAAGTGTTTATAGTATAAGCCTAAATGGTCTGCAGGAGTATGCGCAGAAGGAACATAGATATTTCAGTGATTTCCTTGACATGTTCTTGTTATGCTACACTGAATTTGGTTATTGCCAAGTTTTGTTTTTTAGTTTTCTTCATGAGATAATCACAGACAGTTCTTTATCATTTTGGAGCTACTGTCAAAACCCTTGTTTGACCTAATTTTTGGATGATACTAAAAGTTTGGGAACAAAAACTCACATTCTGGCTACAGCTTTTTGATGACAGTATTTACATCAAAAATATTTATCTGGATAATCACAAATATATCAGTTTCTTATGTTATTATAGCTGCATATTTGATTATAAAATCTTCTGAAATAAGCAAGAACAATATTTATTTCACACTGCTGCTTGCCTTCCTTGGCAACATTTACTTTTGATTTCAGAAAAATGCCAAGTTTTCATTACTTCTGCCCCTTCAATCACTTGCTTTCTAGTACCTATTTGCAGACACAAACACATTCAGTCATTCTGAATCCTGACTAGCAAAAATTATGTAGTGTGAAGTGCCACCCATTTGCTGTAACAAGGTTGAGAAGCAGATATGAAAGTAAACACAATGGAGCGAAGATTAAAAGCTAGTCTGTATATAAAATTTTATGTGGATTATCAATATAGTTCAAGTTGTGCACTCATCCTCCATGTGTAGGTGGCTGCAGCTTTACGTTATTATCACTGTATCTTAGATTCTGTACTGCTGCATATAAAATCAACGGCATCATCCAGGCCCCTACTGGGTTTTCTGTTTTTCTAGCACTACTTTCATCTTATCATCATAATTCTGCTTTGAACAGAAGTTTTTTGACAGAAAAGGAATGTGGACCCGGTTAGTGTTTGGGGGAAAAGTGTGGATATTTATATGCCTTTCCCTATTGAAAAGGATGAGAGTGTACACAGTATACTTTTATCTAAATGTAAGAGGGAGTATGCCAGCAGTTATAGTAATATAATTACTTTGACTTTGAAAAATCACTTCTCTGTCAAAATAATTTTACATTTACTTTGTGTAAAATGGGACAAAAATCAGTTTGCCAGCTTAATGTGAGGTTATATGGAGTTAGGCAAACTCCTAAAATCTAACCAGCAGAACCTCTACTGGTTCATTACAGCTTTTCTGCCTCCAAGATGAATGATTCCTCTTCTCCCCAGACCAAATCAAATAAGAGTCCTTGAGGGAAAATCATAGCCACTGAAATAATCGATTGCATTCTTGCTGATTTCAATGGCATAAACAGATTTCACATTGGGATTTTTTTAATAACTTCTCTCTGCCTCTGCTATTGATTTTCATGGTTTATATTAATGACTAACTGAGGTCTGAGGTTCAACTGCCTGACTGAACAAGGTGGACAAATGAACAGGATGCCAAAAAACCCTGTTAATTTTGCAAGAACAACGTAATGATATTGCTTGTAAGTGCTAATGCTGTTTTCAGGAGCTCAACAGCCCAAAGTATCTGCAAAGTCAAGCAACATTCATTTAAGCCACTTTTGAAATAATGGAGACATTTAAGATATTTAATAATAATTAGACTGAAATAATAATGAATCACTAAAATGAGAGCAATTGTTATCAGCAGTGCACTATCACTGCTGGGAAATTACAGTTTATGGAGTTTTGTGTGGAATTCTGTTTTGAAACTATTCAAACCCATAATTTATCTGTCTTATTAGTAAGAACATATTAATCTACTGCAAACAGTGGCAATGTGTACTCTAGCAGACAATTTGCTTCTTTCTAAAGATTAAACATAAATACACTTCCATACAGTGCAACTGTTTCCTAATTGTATATTTTAAAGATTGTTTCATGAGTATGAATGCAGTTTCCATCCCTTACACACCATAACATGCATACATTTCTTTCACAAAGAAAGATTTTAGTATTATACAAATTAATTAAGGAGGGAAAGCTTTGCACATGTCATCTTTATGGAAGTCTCTTTGTGAACTCAAAAAAAAAAAACTTCCTCAGGAATTCCTGAATTTATTCTGTGGTGCTTGTATTCCACTCAAAACTGTGGGTATGAGATGAAGATTTACTCCTAGATCGTAGAGGAGAATTACACTCAAACCTTTGCTGTAACAGTTTATCTTGTCCATACTTATATCCTTTTAAAATCCTTTGTTCATTATTTTGCCTCAATTCTTTTGCTTGTTCCATATTCTGGTTTCTTCTCACTTTGTGTTGCATACATTAAGAATATTAAAAAGATTAACCTCTTTTTCTTGATAGTTAACTGATTGTTAATACAACAGATAGGAAAGCTTTTGAGAAAGATAAATCTTTGAACAATGCCATAGACTTACCTAAGACATGGGATACTATCTTTCATCGTTCCTTCACATGCTACAGTGTTGGTACTGCCTGAAAGGCTCTTTAAAGAAGGAAGCTGGGAGGAGGCATCTGGAAATGGAGGAATTATTTCCGGTTCAGGAGTAATGATATCTTCTACTTCATACTGAAGTCGTACCTCTAATGACTTAAATAAATAAAAAGCTACGTTATAATTTAATAAAGAAAGTTGCTGAACATTCTGTTACTTTCAAATAAATATCAGTCAGCCTTTTTTTAAAAATAACCCCCCACATTTCTCATTATCATTTGCAGGCAAAGAATACTGTCATTTGTTATTTATACAGTCTAACAGAAATGTCAGATAAGAACTAGTCATCTACCCTATGCTGATGGAAAAATACATAGGTATATTCTTCCAGTGCTGACTTTGATTCAAGCCTTTTATTGTAAGTGAAAGGCAAGATTACAACTTTCCAGCATTTATTATGAAAAGACAAGTTAATCACCCCCAAATAAATAATATTTCAGCATAAGAATGCATCATTCAGGATAAATGTCATGAAAATTTTCTGCCTATTGTCCATTATCTTTATCCTAAGCAAATTCATTAAAAGAATGATTGTCAACTCTGTCTCCTTATTGCTTGTACAACAGAGTCTCTACAAGACAGGTTTTAGCTAGTATGCAGAAGTGTGACAGTGTGGGTAGTACTGATGAACAAACTTCATTTGTCCATAGGTGGGGGTAGGGAAATCAGAGATAACAGCACAGAAAGTTCTGTTTTCCTTAGACTGAACATGAGCTTAGCAGATTCTAGAAAGCAAAGTTCAAACCAGTTATGTTTTGCTTTCCTTCAGGGCTCTCTAGAAAAGGAGATCAACCAGGCCCAACCACCCTTCCATTCTTTCCACTAATTCAGGACTCCTAAACACAGGGGAAACTGGACAGGGAGCTCAAATCTATATAAGTAATCATCTCAAAGGATCACAGTCAATGTTGGGCAATTCTTTCTACCTGATGAATTGTCCAAGGAGATGTCTATTTTGAAAACAATAAAAAACAAGGTACAGCCCTCAAAGAGATAACTAGCTGAATAGTAATTTCAGTGCCGGTACCTTGAAGCAATCAGAAGCAATTGCAGATTTAGACACTGCAAACTCCATCTTAGTGATCTCTCACTGAGACATCATCTATACCAGAATGGAGATGACAGTATTAAGAAAATACCTATGTTTTATGAGAATTGGAAGATAAAGATCAGGACTGAAGACTCTCCTATTTCTCAACCATTGTGTTAAAACACATAAGATTTCAGAAAGAAGTGATTCTGCTCAATAAGAAGAGAAAGGGTCCTTTCTCAAAATTTCACTTGCAAAATCCATGGATATCTTTTGCCTGAATCAGCTAAGAAACCTATGGACAACATTTGCCTTCAAAGACTAATGAGTGAAATATTGAGTTCAGAAAAATCTAATCTCCTGGAAGTAATTGCTGCTGACTGAAACAATTTATAATGCTGTTTAATCTTCATGCAGGACTGGAGTAACTGTTGAAGAGAATGTTCTTCTGCTTGTCATGTTAGAATGCTTCATTCTTCTTTGGATGCCTTTCTTTGTGTCTTCCTTTTTCTACTAAAATTCATGTTGTTAATTTCTAGCTATTGTCCATTTGCAGAGAAAAGGAAAAATTTAGCCTAAAAACATGGCTGTGAATTTTTTTAACGCTTTGGTCCCTGCTTTGACTGGACCTTGGAAGGGGTACAGACCTGTTGTACCAATTTATTTTATTTGATCTTTTTGGAGGATCCCATCACTAGGTTCATTGATTCTCCCTTCTACATTCCAACTAGTGTAAACTTTTTTTCTATGGTTCTTCTCAAGAGCTTTGAAGAGGAGCTTCACCAAGGAAAGACTGATCACCAAGAAAGTGATCACATGTAATAGATACCTAGATATCCTTTTGAGACAGGATGGAGTAGATTCAGATGATAAGGCAACAACAGCAGCAAATGCTTTTTACATAACTGCATGACAATGACTCCAAGGTTGATCATGAAGTAGAATTTCTCTCATGCATACTACTTGCCTCCAGAATCTGATATGGAATTATGCAAATAATACTTCTATTGAGGAAATCCTAGGCACAGTCTATGCCTTTAAGGCATATTTAGCAGCAGACTTCCCTGCTACATGGATAAACCTTTGAGTAGCCTCCATGCTTGCCATTTACCACTGCAATAACATTACAAGACTGATGTCAGGCAGTCAAACAAACATGGAGTCCTTAAAATGCTGGGATTTGTAGACTGAACTCAAGATGAGTTCAGGCTGGCTGCTAGAGAAGGGAGGGTACTAAGTGCTAGAACTTGGGCTCTTTTCCTCAGGCCGGAAGAAATCCTCAGACTGACCAGCTCAGTCTCAATATAGACAGACAGCCTCAAGTCAGCTACATATTCCAACCAAGACTCCTATACTTTTTATTAAAAAAAAACCCCACCACTTAAGAGTGAAGACTTGAATGCTTGAATGTGGAAACTAAGAGAAGAGGCTCATCTCAGGGATGCACAAAACCCAGGGGAACTCAGGGACTGTGCCACCAAGATTAGATGATATTAAAGCAACTCTTCAGAGAACAATTCCTCATATAAATGCTTCTTAATTACAGATGAATTGTGAGAAATGGTTAAATTGCACATATTATAACACTTTAGAAAATACTCATGCAATTCAGCCACAAAAGTAAGTGATGTGAAAGTAAAGAAATTAAATGATAGGTAATAAAAGGTAAGGTGCATTTGCTATGGAACAATGTAACAATACTGAAATGTAGTATTTTTACCAGCATTATACATGAGCTGGTCAGTAAGGTGAAATTACTGTTCATTAGTTTTAAAACTTTCCTGAAAGGGTACATTCAACTAGCTTACGCCTCTGGGGGACAAAAAATGTGAGGAAACCAAGAGAACAGCTATAGGTAATGAATATCCTTACCAGGTGGCACATAGCTACAGGCCAAAAATGACACGTTTTTGCCAGGCTAGAACTATAGATTTTCTAAAGTACATTAAAATAGTGTGAAAAGGAAAAGAACTGTAATTGGGGAAGGTGGAAAATAAAAGGGAAATTTTGGGTCAGCCCCTGTGAGAGCTGGCAGACACAAAGAAATACTTCCTGGCAAGACAGTGTCTGGAGCTGCAAACTGTTCTCCAGCACCAGAGAATGGCAAACCTGAAGGAGAAGCAGTCATGTTTAGTTTGGCTTTGCCTTGAGAGTAGTCTCCTGTTAAACTTCTTAGACTTAAGAAAGAATTTACATTATAAATGCTGTTCAGCCACACTGTTAGCAGTGGTTGTGGCTCCTGTGCAAAAATGCAAGGTTTAAACCAAAGTCAAGTCAGACTTGCTGTACAGCAATGATAAGTACAAAGTGACTGCAGTGCAGTTAAAAGAACATGAACTGTATGATTTTACCTGAAATAAGGTGACTGCTTAAGACATGAGGACAGAAAAAGGAGTATTTGAACAGGATAAAGCCAAAGAAAGCTTAGGAAAATATCAAGTGCTTAGCCATAAATAATGTGGCATTTCATATAGTGTCCATTTTTAGGGAAACAAAGTCAGTATAAGCCAGAAAAAAAAATCAACTTTTTTTATTTTGTTAAAGTCAGTGATAATTTTCAGTCCCCTTGTGGTACAAACACTATGAACATAAAGAGATGAATTACTTGAGTTAAAAAAGAGTATTATTATGTATGTACACAATGTACATTATCTGATAAAAACATACAGCAGCCAGTATTTTTAGAGCAGGTAAGTACAACAGATATTTACTGTATCATAATGTCTTAAAAGCAAACTATGTCTTAAATCTGTACTGTATGTCACTATTAAAGCAAAAAAAGTGGAGAGTTGGCTCTCAAAAACTCAGTTAGATCCTTGTCACTAACTTAAGTAGGATCGAGATTTCACTGAAAACATTTAAAATGGAATGTCCCTAAACCTGTATTTATACAGCTTGATATTAATTTTATTCAAGTATATGAACACAGACACAGCAAAGCAATCTGATTTAGAAATTGTTCTTTTATAAGAGAGTAAAATTCTAAGGGACTTACTGCAATTTCAGTATTTACTTCATGTTTGCTGAACCTATAAACAACCACATATGCAGAAACTCCTGCCACACAGAAAATTCGGCTTTCAGGACACCAGTACATCATCTGAACAGCAAAAGGATCTTCTTCCACAATCTCAGCTGTTGCTTTTCCTTCTCCCAGTTTTTGTTTTTCAAAGACCTTTGATGTTTTTAATTTGTACAACATCTGTAGTGTAACTGGAATATATTAAAACATATAAAAATTACTAGCATGAAGCAAGTGAGTTGTAAAATTCCTCAGTTCACATTTTCTTTTCAGGTGTGGCAAAATAAAGAATCTTATGAAGGTCTAAGAGGAGAACATGATGGGTATTATACAATACAGATATTATTCTGGTGCACAGCACTGGTAGGATATGTATTTAATACTTCTAAACCAGGTATTTGTCTGTGAAATACTTCTTAGTACTTTCTGGGACAGGATGTCAAAGATGTATGTTAACCATTATGGCCATAATTAGGCTTATACTCAATGTTATAGAGAGGCTCTGATAATGCTGCTATTTTCCTAATGAGATGTGAAATTAAGATTTCATTTGTCTGAGGTTATCGTCTTACTAGATTATCGCCTTACTAGAATGTAAAGACTGTATGGCACTTCAAGAGAAAACATTAGGAAAGTATTCTGGTGGCCTGGGCAACACAAAGACTTTCTGAACAAACAGGAGTTCTAAAATGTTTTTTAATTTCTTGACTAATAAGTATATCTGTATTTATACCTGATGTTTTTAATTTCTTGACTAATAAGTATATCTGTATTTATACCTGTATATAAAACCTTAATATCCAGAAGCCTGTGTCAAGGCTAGAACTCCACTGCAGTGAATTCTGGAGGTAAAGGAAGGATTATAATTAACTACATTTTGGTTTATTGACATTCCTTACTTTTTTCACTATTTTCACATTAACTTATCAGTGGCATTAATTAACAACAGCATAAGGTCAGAAAAAGTCAGTCAGGCCCAGCACCTATAAAGGTGTGTATAAAGGCAAAGTTGTTCCATATGTTAGTGTAATTGTGATAGATCAGTCTAGCTAGCTTGTATAACAAGAGCAACAAAAAGATGGAAGAATGGTGTTTTAGTTATGTAACCGGATGACGAACACAGCAAAATTGCCTTTTCATTTTGCAGTGCAGATATATTCTAGGAGTTTTAGCATATATTTTTAAATATTTTTAAAAGTTTTAGCATATAAAACGCTACCAAATTTTCACAAAATACAGCAAGTGCTTCTGTAACGAATACATAATTCTTCCTGCCTTCTGTGGCAGTGGAAGAGGCCTCAGGACACCCCTAGTCCCAGTGGCAAATCTAGAGTGGCACTTCAAATCAGACATCATGGGTCCAAGCATACTAGGACTGGAAGAATTACAGAATCATAGGGTACAAGTACAAGGTGAGATTCTCTATGCTTCTGTGAATTACTAGGGACTATCTGTACAAGGGCAAATAAGAGTGAGCAATCGCTTTTGAGCAACGATACATTTGGAAAACCGCTTCAGTGGCTTAGCAATTCCCTGTCTACCACAAATCTGTGCTTTCAGATACAAAATTATACAATTAAAATATGTCTAGAAGTGAAATATTTTGTGCCTTCAAATACCAGTAGGATAGTATGCTTGCTATGAAATCTCAAATGAAATTTGAATTCTATTAAAAAAGTTAAGACCTCATAAATAATAATTAAAACCTTGTAAATAAAAAAGTACCAAGTATGGTATCAGTAGCACAGTACATGCCCTGAAAAGCAGGACTAAGAACAGGACATCAGAGATGCACTGAAAGTACCATTACTGTTGAAGGGATTGTGAATATTCATGACTCTCTTAAGCTTCCACCTTTAAGAAAAATTCCTATTGCAGCATGTACATACTGATTAGTGGGTTATGTTTACATTCCTTATGAGAAGTTTTTCCCTTTCCCCATTCCTGCCAGAATTATAGAAGAAATGACTAACACATTGGTTCCTGTGCAGTGTATATGCTAAATGCTTTGGGGTCTTGCAACAGTCTGTATTGTTTCATTCTAATTTTAATGCCTGTATTTGCATATTCCTGTCAAGAGCATAAGTATGTAATGAAGTATGCATGAGACAAGATCTAATGCCTCATGCTACTTCTGTAAATAAAAGTCATTATCCTATTTTTGTTCATATTAAAGCTCTTTCAAACTTCTGTCTTTGCAGCTAAACTCCTGTTGACCTCATAGGAATTTTTTTTCTTTTTGGTGCTCACCCGTAACTTGAAAATACTGGAAGATGTAAAATCTAAGCAGCATGTATCTGTTTTTCCTCCATTTCCAAACAGACAAATTATATAATAAAAAGCCCAACTCATAGTCATGTTCAGCTGACATGCCTACATAAAATTTCTTTGTGAAATGAGGCTTTGGAAATCTTCATTTTCTCCTTGTCCATCCTGATGAGTGAAAATATTTGGTATTAGGCAAAAAGAGAACTACCTGACAAAGTCATCAGGTTTAGCTGACATTAAAATCTTGCAATCATTCCCCATATTTGGCGGGAAATGGTAGCACTATTAATCATTACAATTCTGTAGCACAATGTGGAACTAGCAGGTAGTTTAAGTATCGCATACTCCGTGTTCTTGGTGACCATTACAGACTGTTTATTAGGGTCAAATTAAATCTCTCTATGATTAACATTTCATACAGAAGTTTCTTTCACACTCTCTTTTCTTTAAGAGACTGATACCTCATAAAAGAGATACGCTGCCCAGACATCCATGTACCACAGAAAGGACAGAATATAAGGCAACTCTACTGCAACTTTTATGAAGCACACATTATTTGAACCAGAATATGTTAGCTTTCAACCAAAATGTGTGTATTTTTTTAATAAATATATTTTACTAATAAGTACCATATGTATCTTCTGTAGGGGAAAATTATGGGGTTTTATATGTGTAGTTATAGCTAGAATTATGGAACAAGTATTTTCTGAAGCTCCTTCCTGCTAGCATGAATGGAAATGCTTCCCAATTATTTCCTGGAACTGGAGACTGGACAAGAAAAGATTTAGGTTATCTCCACCCTTGTATTTTCATATTTTATTTTTACTTAGCTGTAAAAAAGACTATATTGTACTCAGAATAGAAGAGACATGACAACTGGAACTGAATATTAGATCTAATTGAGCCCACTCTTTTATACACACAAGGAGATTATGTCCTAGGGATTTTTTACCAACACTTCATCCTTCATAGGTTTTGGTATGTTGGATCTGGAGTTTTTATTCATCTTAAAGACATTCACTCTTTTCTGTCTAATATATCCCATTAACAGTGTTTTTTTCCCTAATTTAATTAGAAATTGCTTAATTTCACTTCATTATTCCTAATTATATCATTCCAGGTATTACTACTCATACTGTTAAACATCATGTGTTATATATATGTGTTTGTGCGTGTGATTTATCAGCATTATATAGAAGTGAACTTTAGAAACTTACTGGCAGAAGCATCCCAAAACTTTACTGATCCATCTGCATGGCTTAAAAAAATATAAAAATTAAATGTGTTAAAACAAGATGCAATTCGAAAACATCTTCTACTTTCAGTGAGTGATAAATATAAGCAGAAAAACTGTATTTTGCTCTCTATACCTTACTGACAATATATAATGATATATATACTAAGAAAATATTTTGTTATCAGTTTGATTAGGTTTAGAAAGCACTTCTTCATGCTTTTCCTACAAAGAACTAACCACCCAATGAGTTTTAAGATTGCAACAGCAAGAAATTAATTCCCATACTGATGACAAATTTAAGTTACAGCACTTTTGGCTTTGCAGTGGGCCAGCATCAAGCCTGTGCACTCTAAAAATGCCATGTATAGCAAACTTTGAAAGGACAGAGGGTAACTTCATTTTGCTTAATACCTTACAGTTGTGTTCTTTTATTAACATAAAATCAGGCCTGAAATAAAGCTTGAGAAATGAGACTTTCTGTTTACAGTAAGAATAATCCCTTCATCACCTTATTAGTACTATTGCACACATCATCACCTTATTTTTAAAAAGAGGTGTTAAGTATCATTGATAATAACAATTTATCAAATATATTGCTATCATCAGCATGACTGAGACCAGAGGGAAACACAGAGTGCATCATAGCTGAAGAGCTTCTGTTTTACAGCATGGCCCCTTGAAAATCCATCAGGGCTCATGGGGCTTCTACTGCAGTCTGAGCCTTTCTATGCCTTTTTGCTATGGGGCTGTCTCTCCACTCACAAGGTGAAATTCATCCCAGTGCACCACCACCTACTAATGCTAGGGTATTGAAAGGAATTCCCAAACTGTCCCCAGGTACAAAGTCCCCAGAAGGACAACAGCTATAGAAGAACAGTTGCTTCTCTTTTTAATGCTATTCTCTATGCCCTTCAAGGCCAAAATATTCTCTTGCAATGTATTCTCCTTTCCAAAGACCCCAGCTTCACAAGTACACAGACTTGCTGTCTAACACTGGGGCCTCAAGTTGTAATTCTTAATGGTAATTCATCCCTGAGTACAAAGCTCTATTTTCTACAACAAATGGTAATTTCTGTGGTGACTCTGCACAAGGAAAAACCCATGTACCTCAAATGAAGAGGCCAGGATATGCATACTCTGTGAAGGATCAACTCTTATCTATAGCTAACCCACAATGAAAAGCTGTAGACACTAACAATTTAAAAGTACCAATCCTCAGTTTCATTCTCACCCTGTAATAATGATTTCAGGATATGTCTGAGCTCCAAGGTTCCATGCTCCACCACTGATAGGCCACTCCTAAACAAACAACAAGAGTATGGAGATCACAACTAGTTCTGATGAATCTTGCTGGGTTATTTTTTAAACTCAAGAGTAGCAAACATCTTCTTCCAAAAAGCAATACAATTCATAAAAGAAAAAAAAAAAAATGTAGCATTCAAGGCTTTTAAAGCTTATTAACATTTTTATATTATCAATTAAGGCTTTTGAAACTTAATAACATTTTAATGTTATTAATTAAAGTTCTATATTTTTAAAATATTTCTGCACAGCTAACACTCAAGAATCCAAAATAGGAACTAGAGGAAAGAGTAACAAACAGTTCTGCTACTCTTTTCAGATTGCTTAACTGTTGGAGTTTCTATAGGACACTGAATAGACTGAGAATCTATTTTGAGGATGAAGACTACTGAAGGAGCTGACCCAGAAACAAATATCTGAGCATGATGCCTTGAGATATGAGATAAGGGAATGCCACTTTTACAGAACATATGAAATCATCATCTCTTCTCTGCCTTTTGTTTACTAGTGGCAAGACTCCCATTTTCTTCCATGGTCGAGCCTGGTAGAGCGAAATGCTGGTCTGTGCCTAAGGGTTGACAGATATATAGATACAGGACACATGATGTGGAGGATGACGTATGTGCAGAGTGGGTGAGGATGCGTGCAGAATATGAGTGGGTGGAAAAAACCTGGGAGCACAAACTGGTTATGTGGATACATGGAGTGAATGCTTGTGGGTACAGAAATGGGTGGGTGGCAAGTGAGTGGCTACCTATGTTTAGAGTGTGTATTTGTATGTGCACAAATAAAGCAAGGGGACAAGAGAGCGTGCAAGGAACACAGGTAGGTGGTGAAAAGTTTGGGAAATATGTATATGAGGTAAGGATAGACAAGTAGACAAACTCAAATAAATGAAAAAAATATTTTCTGAAGTACTTTGCTGAATCAAGATCCAAAAGAAGTAGATAGAGGCCAGTTTCTCAGTGCATGGAAAACAAGGCAGCTCCAAGGAGAATACTTCTGTTAATATGAATAGAAAACTGATGATGTCTGATTTGTTTACCCAATATTTTTTCTAATTTATTTATTAGGATGGATTAGTTCTAGTCAAAACATAAACCAGATTAATGCTTGAAATTAATAAAATAATTGCATTTCCTCTTTTTATTTCTGCAGCCTGTCCTATATCTAAAAGCATTACATTAAGACTTTGGTAGCTCAGTAAAATAACTATTAATATCCCTACTTAATAAAAATCTCACAGACATGCTGTCAACCCTCAACTTTCACTAAAGCTCTTCTGCTAACTTCTTTCAGTTATGTTGTTTTCACTTTTTCTTTGATAGAGACAACTTATCCATACAAATTTGAATTGTACACTGATGGCTTTCCTTTAATTAAATCTGACCTGTCATAATTCCAGCAGCCTAATGATTAAGTCCTACATAATGTTCATTAATGGCTGTGCTTCAGTGATGGTGTTTCTGAGGGACAAATACCAGGCTGTAAGCATGCTGCTAAGCTGCTGGTTGGACCAACTTAAAAGTGATTACTAAAGAAGTAAAATGAAAATAATTGGTAAGATGTTACAAAAACATAGGTTGTACATCTACTTTCTCTGTTTAAAAAAAAAATTCATTTTGTTTACCTTATTGCTGTATCCTTGCTTTTTATGTTTTGCTCCTACAGAATAGAGTACAGGAATCAAATCTGGAGGACAGTCCGCAAAATATTCTGTGCAGGTAACAGGTGACTCATGAATGTCAATAGGATATGGATTTTCAAAGATTGGAAAACTAGTTAAGGAAGACAATTTATTAGAAGCACTGTGACACACTGAGTCATAGAAGAAAACATACTATATTAAAGTGTATAACAGAATCTAAGTTTAATCATTACTAATAAAGTACATTTTCCCCTATTTATTCGAACATATGTATTGTTTTTAATGTCAATAACAATGTGTAGTTACTGAAAGATATAAAAATTCCACTGCTGTGACAGCAATCCTCTTGTAACATAAACACCCATTCATGTGTATTGTTCCTAAGGCTACTAGGACTACTTGTGTGAATGAGGATTAGGAACTACTTTTTCCCAGCATCTCAAAATCTTCATACAGAAGTGACACATTTTCTAGAAGCTTCAGGTTCATGGATATGATATATACTATACTATATACCTAAGGACTACTTATACAACTGTGGATTTTATATTGAGCAGCTTAGCTTATTGGGTTGGTAGACTACTGATTCTACAATGAACAATTGCAATAACAGATGAAGTAGATCTCAGTTTATTTCTCACTTCCATCAGTTTGGACAATCTGATAAGAAGGAAGGGCTCACTTATGGCATATTACACAATGTTATTCACAATTCAAAAATGTAGGAAATTTGCTTCTGATTTCAGTTACATCCATTTTATATTGCTGAGATGATTTGAATTATTCTTGAAAGTAGGTGAGATCAGAATATGATTCACTTAAAATGTTTCAAGACATTAAGGACAAAATCTGTTCCTAGTTATACCAGTGTGAATATGGATGTACATTACTGGTAGTGCTGGAGGCAGAACAAAATAAATAATGATGTATAGTTCCTCATTACATGATGTATAGTTCCTCATTGATATGAACAATGATTCATTGATGTGAAAGAACTATTTGTCATTTAAACCAGCAACTGGATCACAAAATAATCCCATAGATAATGCCATTATTTATTAAAATACTTAAATAAATACTTAAGTGGTAGTCCCTCTGGAGTCCAGTGAAGTTAGGCATGCACGTAAGTAGTAGTTGAATCTGGTTCCCAAAACACACATTCAGGTCATAATTCAGCATGTGACCAAGTATTACTTAACTTTGATGTTTAGTGAATGTTTCAGGCCTATGCTGAAGGGACCACAGATTTCGATTTACTCCCAAACTTAAGAACAAATATTATCATAAGTTCCTGTTGATGAGCTGATCTTAGTTCTTAAGGTGGAGGTAACCATATAGAGTGAATTATTACCAAGAGTTAACCATATAGAGTGAATTATTATCCAAGATTTTGGATAGTAAAATGATATTGCATGATAACATTTGGATTTTTATCATCATTTACTGGACAGTTAAGATATACAAATAACTTCATATAAGACTTCATACTTACTTGCTTTGTGTCAGGTCAACAACAATGAGATCTTTTTCCAAAAGCACAACTACAGCATAGGGTTCTTGAAATTCTGTAAGTGAGGAATCAAGTATAAAAGACAAGGACTTCTCCTATTAGTCATTTTAAACAAGCAAGTCTCATTTATATATTAAACAAGTTTTGAGGTAGAAATACTAGATATACCCACTAAGTAGACATATCTGCAAACTAGGGCCAGACAGGAACTGAGAAATGAGTTTTGGGCAGTATTGCTGATCAAGATACATAGCAGAAATTGAATTGGCATATTATATCACGCCAGCATGATGGTATATTGGAAGTAAAGAAACAGAATATGAAATTTTTGTGTGTATCACTGCATTGCTGAATCCAATTATTATACAGAAAATGTATTTTTGCTGTCCGGTAGTAATACTTCTACTGTGTACAACTGTACTTCAAAACCAGATTGTGAACAGCTGTTCCAGTCCACTTGATGATACACAATACCCTCATTTCCAAAGCAATTCCAAAGGAATATTCCAAAGGAATCCTGTAAGTCTGCTGTGTTCAATTCAGATACTGACATGCTCCTTCCTCCCGTACGCTCTTTAGATTATATTGTTTGTTTTTTATTTAATGCTTTTTTCATTTATCAAAAATAAACAATGAAAATGACAAATAAATACTTCCCTTGATGCATAGGGTGCATTACTTTACATAGCATAAAAGTTATTTTAAAAAATATAACAGTGAAATGAAAAGCTCCCTTTTCAACAGCAGCAAACCATCCCAGTATGTGCAAGCTCAGAGTATAGTTTTCAGATGGCTGATGCCAAAAGGCTGAGTAAATTGACAGCAACTGATTTACCTTCCTTTCAGACCAGCTATGAATGCAACTGATTTACCTTCCTTTCAGACCAGCTATGAATGCATAGTATTTGTGGCCTGGTTTTATACAAGGCTATGAATAACACAGGTTAACCAAAATTTTTAAATACTAGCGTGTGAGCAGTGCTACAAAATCTTAGTACTGGGAAGTGTCACTGAATTTTGACACAGTTAAATGATGGCTCAAACTAACTTTGATTACCAAAAATTAAATTTTTGCATGACATCATTGAAATAAATACAGTTTATCTTTACTAAGTGTTTTTAATATGTACTTGATTTAGCTCCATATATAAGATTTTTTTTACTTTTCTGCTCGAGGGCTTAAAATGCTAAACTTAGTTTCTTTTTGACTTACAGCTTAATTTACTTCCTGGAGTTTTCTGTGAATGTACTTCAGAATATGGTAGCCCCACAATATGCAGCAAAACACTTTTAAGAGCTCAATTCAGGCTGAAGCGTAAGAGCTATTTTGCAGATAACTGATAGTTTAATCTCCAATAATATAGCAATCTGTAGATTTTCAGTCTCATGAAAAATGTCAGAAATATAAGCACATATGTGTGATTAATAGCAATATTTCCTCACACTAGGCCATGTGTTTCAAGCTTATATCTGGAGATTTATGTATGCTTTATTGTCCACTGATTACTTGCTTCCTATATTGAGAATGCAAACAAGTTCCAGTTACTTTCAGTGATGTGGTTTTCTTGAGATGGAGACAACTGTGAGAATGGAAGCCCCTGGAATGGAATTAAGGTGTGAGATAAGATCTCTTCATTTATGTTTTCCATAACTGTGTTTTGCTTAATAAACTCACCATTTGGATACGGGGTTTCACAAAGAGTTAAAAAATCAACTATAGGGTGATCCATTTCAAGAACTGTAATTGCTTTCCCATGCATGATTGTTAAACTTGGTCTTCGACAAGCCTTATCATATGACAATCCACCAGAAAATATCACAAATGGTTCACTGTATTAAAAAAAATAACACAGTAATTATAAGTTTACATAGTACATACAAGTTTACATTATAGGTTTAGTACCTTTAAATAGTAATAATAAATAGCTTTGCAAAAAGAAAGAGGGAAAGATTCTAAAAGGACTTTAACTCAGGAATGTAACATTGCATTAATTACAGAATTAAAAACATACCTGTTTTTACATGTCTTATACTCTACTTTAAGAATTGGTTTACAAGATTCAGGTTTTTTTCCATCTCTCTGAATTTTTCCTAAGGAAAGAAAGAAGAAACCTGTATTAAAACATCATGATAATAGAAATACCAAACTAAAACATACACATTGAAGCAACTGTATAAGCAGTAAGAGAAAGGAACTTTAAAGCTACATAACATTATAAGTATTAGCTCCTATTTCCGTAAAACATGCATTTTATCTAAATTAATTACATTTTTTATGGCTTATGTTTGTACTGCCACATATATCTAAAGGACCATAGACTACACTTCAAAGACATCTAAAACCCATGCAGATTACTGAGAAGGATGAGACTTTAATAATAATGAATGAATTTGACCAAATGTATACCTTTTTCGTGAACACATTATGACCATAAACAGCCTAATTTTTCCCTAAGTCATTCTTAGATTGACTCAATTCCTTTTGTTGACAAAACGTTACATGCTCTGGAGTGTAACTAGTTGAGTGCTAAAATTAAATGAAGCATACAATTGACATTCATGGGATCTTAGTTAATTATGACCCAGTACTTTCTTCCAGTCAGAGAAAAGTCACTTGTAAACCAAAAAAAATAACAGTTTTTGGTTTTGCTACTTTGGAAAGCCTAGGCTTGCTTTCGACAACAACCTGTTTGGAGGATACAGTGTAGATGAAGCCAGACTTTTCTCAGAGGTGCACAGTGACATGACAGGAGGCAAAGGACTCAAGTTGTGACATGGGAAATTCTGGTTAGGTATCAGCAAAAAAATGTGTACCATGAGGGTCATTAAATACTGGAAGACATTGCCCAGAGAGGTTGTGTAATTTGTTGTTGGAAGTGTTCAAGTGTCCAGTGTTGACACTAGACACTTCCCTGAGCTAACTGATTTAATCAGGCCTGCTTTGAGCTGGGGCTTAGACTAGATGACCTCTGAGAGGTCCCTTCTGACATAAAGTACAATTCTATGACTAAAAATTAGGAAATTTAAGAAAATGCAAAACTTTTTTGGGCTACGTAGATCTTGCCTTCCGCTTTTTCCTCCCTCTCCACCCAGTCAGGCTATTTAACCTCATTTATAGGAAGCAATGGCATATGAAGTCCCAGCCATAAAATATACAGCCATTTCTTAATATGGCTCCTTTAAATTCTTCATTGCAGTGACTTGGGAAGCCTCGTACCATCTCCGTAACAAGCAACACATTGTTGTACAAGTGTCTTGTACAAAATGTATTACTTCTTGTAAAAATTGCATATACGAGCACATAAGTACAAAATAGAAAAGAAATGCAAAAATCCCATGGCCTGAGGGTGTCAAAGACTAGCAGTAGACTATTAAGATGAACTGGAGAAAAGACAACATTAGAGCAATATTACCCAGTAAGAGGTATTTATGACTTCAATTTAAAAAAAAAAAGTTTGATCAGAATGACTCTCTGATTTTTATAATACTTTGCAGCTACTTTGCAGATTAAAATATGCAAGAAGCAACTCTGGATCTAGGCTACAATAAAAAAATGAAATATAGATATTAGCAAACAGCATGGAGAACATTCTTAGTTATACATTTCTTAGTTATACATTTTAAATATCAAAATTACCATGTGGAATTGTGGTCTGGAATGGTCTGTTAGGACTTTTCAGATTCCATAGGGTCAAGCTGCCATCAGAGTGACTGCACATGAACTGTTTCCCTTCATGATGCCAAGCAACAGAATGAATAGCCTACAGAAATGAAAGAAGAACTTGAGACTGAAATGGAATATAGTGTTTATGTTAATGATATTTTAATGTATGACTTTGGATTATATTAATGTAATTGTGTATCAACAGTTGGATGGTTCTTGCTTGCCTAATGTCCATTACCAGCACTTTCTAGTATCCAATGGCTGTAATCTACTGCTAGACAAGCAAAACAATTCATTATAAATGCTAACATAACACAAGAATGTAAGAAAGCCTGTACTGAATCAGACCAAAATTGAAGGAATAGGGTATTACGGTAAAAGATCGAGGGACATACAGTGCAATTGTAATGTGTCTGATGCTCTCCTTAGAAGTATTTCATCTGGCAAATGTACAGGGAATTCTGTGTGACAAGTTTTACAAGTAACGTACAACACATGCCACCATCCCCAGAGGACTATTTAGGAAAAGTAGAAATAGCACTCTATTCTTGAACCATTTTTTGCCCCTGTATACTTAAGTTTCAGAGCAAGTACGGAAATCTGGGATGTTTAGTATAAAAACAAGATCACTAAGGAGACCAGGATTGTTTAATTCATATAGGAAATTAGCAAAACAAAGATACTTTTGGAACAGAGGAATATTGCACTCCTATGTACACAATGTCAAGTACCATGTGATGAATGTTATGTATGCCAAAAAGCAACACTTAATTACTAGACCATTCTTAGTATTTCGTGCATAATTAGTGGAACTGACTGAAAATATCCATAACTACATCAAACAAGCTGAAAGGATAATGGTGCAAGTCCTTCATTTTCACTGGTATGTGCTGGAAACTAACAAAAGCCATTTTCTGACAAAACAAAGTATTGCTTCATTAACTATACCACAGTTTCTCACACGCTCCCCTCAGAAGCACAAACTCACAGAATTTTCCCTTGAATCCATTTCCCTTCCAGAAATGTTAGCTGCCAAATAGCAAAATTCACAATGTGTTTTTATGCACATGTATATATAAAAGACCTGGTTTTGAGTGCAGTTTAATAAATTTACATTTTTGCAACCTGGGAAATGCTAAGGCCTTGCATGCACTTAGAACTGCATATAGCCATTTACCTGATTTATTCACATCAGTTTAAAATCATGGCTGGGTATTCATAAGTCAGCATTGGAGTTGTTCATATCAATTTTGTTTAAGCTGATGAGATAAACCTAAGTGCTACTGGTCACTATTCAAAACTCCCTGTTGGTCTTCCTCGTTTAATAAGTATATTGATTGTTATGGTTGGTTATGGCTTATGGTCTGGAGGGAATATCAGAAGAAACCAACAAAAAGGCTGTGACCCTTTCCCAAAACTTTACTCAGCTCCTGAGGCAGAACAGCATAGCCACAAATGAGCCTTTGCATTAAGATGACTCAGAAGTTTTAACAGGAATCTCACGCGCCTTGTATATGAATGCTTTGCTAACACACGAGTAAGCAAGTCACGCCAATAAAGACTCAACAGAGCTGAACAAAGTGAACTCTAGATATTTATCTTCAAATGATATGAGCACCACTCAAACTTCAACCTACCGGGGGGTTGGCACACAATTCCTCTTAAAGACCTGTAAGATACCAAACTATAACTGAAGCAACAAAACATAACACCGAAAGATGGTTCATACAGAGTCCAATGCCATAGCCCTCAGGTAGTGAGGACCTGAGATCTGTGGGGAGTGCTGCTTCACTTACATTGAAGGCATGTCTATCCTCATGCATATAATTCTGACATGAGCTCATTCATGCCTGCCATCATGCCAAATTTGAATCTGCTTTTGATGTGTTATCACACATAGAAACATTTCACATGGTTACAGTTGCTAACTGTGTCTGAGCAGGAGCTAGTAACCAGCAGCTGAAAATTGTACCAAGCTGCTTGTTAAACTGCCTCTCAGCTGCTTGGTGCCACCTGCCAGCATAAATCTCCTGTTGAGTGGTGCTGAGGAGGAATGCTCCTGTCACAGACAGTTGGCATAGCAGCAACTCAAACTCACCTGTCAGACTTTGTCCTGAAACAGGCAAGAAATACTTAGAATTGTTTTTGAGGGTCTCAGCTGGGAGTAATGCCTAATACTGAAAGGTGGTACTCAACAAGTCCCTAATTTTCTCTCTGCTAGAATGTGTCTCACGTTCTGATCCACTTCCTTAGCATCCACACAAAAAAAGAGCAGTTATTTGCTTAGAACAGGAGTTCATCATGGTGGGTGACTCATGTGAATGTTCACACAGTGTACGCACATAAAGCATATCACTCCAGATTGGGTATGTTTCTCCTTTTGCAATACCCACAGTGGTTGCATACATATTTCATCTTCTCTCATACTCAGCATGTACTAAAATTAAGCATGCCCAACACCATTTCAGTTCCTTCCCAACCACAAACCTCCTCCACTGAGAAGAACTCATAGGGACTCTAGGACCACTTTTAACCATATTTTGAACAAGCACCATACTCATCTCATCCCATTGCTTGAATCTTACTATTAAGGCCCATTACAGCAAGGGCCACATCAGATTTGATACTTCCATAATGACATAGTGCTTGTTACAGTAGGGAGATGTCATTTGGCAAATGTCTCTGTGAAATCTGCAGCTTCATTTTGGAGATGTGTTCTAATGAAAGATGATGACTATGCTTCAGGAAGCTCTGAATGTGTGTTGACAAAACCTGTCAAAGTTTTAAACAGTCTGCATATGAAGACTGCTGGGTTTTTTGGATCTGCCAACTGTCAACAATTACTTGCACATCCTTTGAAGGATCTGGCTTGTTTATGTGCTCTCTTTTTATACCAATTGATGGAAATAAACTTTTGAAGTAATTTATAAAAGGGATTGCAAGGAAATTTTTTTATAGAGGGTATCATATAGGAGCATTGATCGAAAGGGCCTGAATATCTCATACATATCACCACTGAGAAGATGACAATCATCATCACAGAAAGAAACAATTTTGCAGCTGACATCTTGAAGAGCAGACACAACATTCTTCAGCAGCAGGTTCAAGCTCCACTCTGGCACCAGATGTTTCACAAGCAAGAACATCTTAGTCTCTTGAGAAACTTTGACACTGTAGATAAGAATACACAGAAACTCCTTGTGCCAGGAGTTGATGAATTGAGGCAGCCTCTAAACTGGTCATCAGTGGGGCTAAAAGAGAGACAGGACTACTTCTAGCTCTGGTGAGTAAAATGTAAATATCAGGAAGAAGCTTTTAAGGGGAAGACACAGGTTTACAAGAACACCAAGCAGAGAAGTTGCAGGTAATGCAACTTGTACAGCTTTTTCCATCCTTGGTGAGAACTTCTCTCATTTGAAATGAGCAGACATGTTTTATCTATGAAAGGTTTCCAGCCTTCAAAATATTCAGCATGATGAAGATGCAGTAAGGAATGCAGCTGTAAATGCTGCAATTGCAGGTCTGTGAACAGGGGGCAGAGTCTTCACCTCCATCACTTACAAGATTTTAGGTTGTCTCAGTGAGCTGTTTATTCTAGGAGCAATGTGTCCATGACTTTAATCTGGACAGCAAGGAAAGTGAAAGACCATACTTCTGCAAGTACTCAACAGATCCTGCTAATATTGTAGGAAAGAACTCACCCCCCTGTCATAATGTTACACATATTCTGAGAAGATGTCTGCAACATGTCCTGTATCCGTGTCTGCAAGTCTCATGTGATGTGAATCATTACACTGGTATGATAATGCCATGCAGCCTAGAAAAGATAGGCAAGATTTCACAGCGGTGATGTCCTAGTGGACTGAGAACTGTTATCTCTTGATGATCCTTTTGTTAGCCAACTGTTCAAGTGTGCATATAAATAGGACCTATTCTGAGTTGAGTGTCCAGTAATTCTAAGACCTCAATTTAAAAAACAGCATTCAATATAGTGAAAAATTGAATGGAAGAGACCTTTTAATAATGGTTCTCACTGACAATGAAATGAAAGCATTTCTTGTGGCTGTATGAAAAGAAATATCTTTAAGTTCATAAGGTACGGAACTATTCCTCTCTATAACAACTGAATGTCAGCAGATATAGTCCCCATCTTGAACTTAAAAAAGAAGAATATTTAGATTTGTAGATAGACAATCAGTTACCAGCCTCCTTTCCTCTTCTGTATCAAAAAAATATCTGCTGTTAACTTCTCACTCCTGTGCTGCACAGTGATGGGTTCTACAGATCTGAATAACAACAGAGACCCTCCTTCTCAATAGCAGGTCTGAGAAGACTGAAATCCAATGCCATCAAGGGTAACACAGGAGAAATCCAGTTGAGGCTTGATCCTGTGAAAGGACAAGTATTCGGATGGAGTCTTGAGGGTGCTGACATTTATTTTGAGTGACATTACCAAGCTGGACAGCTATCTGAAGAAGATTACAGAGAAGAAAGGACTTGTCTTGGTGATGAGCACTCACAGTCCATTCAAAGACAAGAAAATAAGCTGTTTCTCACAGTACACATCAAGTGCACCCTTAATGGAGAAGTCTGGTGCCAGGGGAATTTTTGATAGTAAACGGCAATATCTCCTCACTGATAAGCCAGAAAAGATCATGCCATCTGATGATCCTTAGAGATGCCAGAAGAGGATGTGGGGAGTTAGATAAGATTTGCAGTTCTTTCGCCATCAAATAAGGTGACATTAGTTTCAAAACTGGTGCTAAAGAAAGCATAATGATAGTAAGAAAAATGAGGCTGGATTAATTTCACTCAGAGCCCATTCAAAGAGGCACTTTGATATTCAATGAAGATATAGAACATTTACAGCAATTTATCTGAGACTTCACAGATACCCTGCAATTGTGACTGGGTGGCTCAGCACCAGAACAATGACACCAAAAGACTGTCACGGGGCACAGAGGCTTTGCATCAAGTCCAGATAAAATGGTGAAGCGGAGAAAGAACAATGTTTTCTGGACTGTGATCTTAGGTGACCAATCTGTAAGAAGAAGCTTAGGTTTCAAAAGTTGTGTTATTGCCAAATACCAAGTGGCACATGCCTAACTAATAATTTGTGACTCACAAAAGCTATATATAACCCAGCATTTAAAAAGGAACCCTTTGTAGGGGCTCCCTGGGGGCATCCTAGCAGATCTGGAACATTATCAGTCTGGAGCCTGAAAGTCTGGAATAAAGTACAATGGCTAGTCACACAACCCTTTTAAAGACAAAAGAAGAGTCTTGCAACTATTTCAGTAGACAATAGCAAGTCATCACAAGTTGTACAAAGTGGAGCAATGACATAGCAAGTAACTACTGAGGAGGAAAGCATGTAACTGATAAAAAGGCCAAAAAAAGTTCCTGAGGACAGTACTGAAAAATGTGGAACAACTAAATTGTATAAGAAATTTTCAACACCCAATGACTCTATCTCAACAAGCAAAAAAAAAAAAAAAAAAAAAGGTAACAGTATTATGAAGATCCTGGTTTATGTTGTCTCATTCTGAGCATGAGAAGACAGTGAGTGAACAGACACCCACCTCCCACCCCCCTGCCAGGAGACTTCTAAAAGGAAAAAGTTGTCCAGCCTTAAGTAATAGAACAGGTGCAATTTCACAACAGTATGCACAGGCAGACTGTCACTTAGAGACAATTCAGTGGGCAGGCTTAAGTGCTAGCCTGTTTAAACTCCAAATCACCCTGTCCTTTAGAACGTTTGCTATGTGGATGCTCAGAATCTTAACCTTGAAGCTCAGTGCAGTGTTAATGTGTCTGTGAAAACAGGCCTGAAAGAGTGCGGGATTCAGATATATTCAGATTACTTTTTAGAGTGAAAATAAACGCATATTCTCCTTACATGTAATAAGGTGGCAAGATGAAGAAGGAAAGAGAACTACAGGGAAACAATTACTGCCTGGATCACTTCAAAGAAAATGACCTTTTCTACCTTCAGTTGTAGTTGCATTCACATTCATCCATGGTGAAGTTTACAGGAGGGCTGGCAGAACAAAGGATGTTTTTTCCTGGGGCTAGTACTAAAAACATAATAACTAGGAATATATCTATTTTTGAAACAGCCTGTTTATTGATACAAGAACTGCATCTATGTTTGATACAATCTGCTTACAAACAACAAGAGGCACTTGTCTGATAAACCCATGAGAATACAATTTTGAAAAACTTTAATCAGATCTTGAGTAGTAGGTAATATCAATAACCTTACAAAATAATTTGTCTTTTATTCTAATTAATGTTCTAGTAATACTAAAGTAATTATGTAATTCCTAACATAGCTATATCTCAGGTCAGCTCATTACTAAACTCTGTTCAGCTGAGGATCCCCACACAGAAGCTGATGAATTTGTCAGAATCAAGAGGAAAAGACTCCATGTCGTAGTACACGCACAAGTGCCTAACTCATTAGAACTACAGATTTCAGGGTTTGATTTCTATTGTCAATAACTTGATCAAAAGCATACCACAAACAGTATTCCAGAACAAGACATACGACAAACTGCCGAATAACAGTTTTTCTGAATTAATGGAAACTGCTTACCTCATCATAATAAGCTCTCAGATCAGCTCTTTTAGATCGTAAGTCCCAGAGTACTACAGTCCCATTTTCATAGCCTATCAATAGCTGGAGAAGGGAAACAAACACAATTATACTTTCAGATTCAAAAGGTATATACAAATATTGAAGAACTTTGTGGTTTCAAGAGATTTTTTTTTTTAAAAAAAAAAGCACTATAAAAAGGAAAGCCAGACTGATGCGTGAGATTGTAGTTTGCACTACATGTAATCATGTAATAGCCAGCTTTCAATTTATCTTTCAGTATAAATTACTTCTCATTACTGACAACTTAAGTTTTAATATGGAAGAAAAAATGTGCTTCATACTCCTTTTTTTTTCTTCGGGTTTTTTTTTTTTGGGGGGGGGGGGGGGTTTTTTGGGGTTTTTTTTCCTGCAAAATTATGTGCCTGGACAGTCTTCACAATTGTGTATCTGCAAAGAAAATAAGACCGTAGCATGTTCCTCTTGGTTCTTACCTTCCTTGCCCCTGTTTGGAGGGAAAACAGTCTGACACCTAAGAGATCACTTAAATAACTTCAAATCAAAGAGTCGCCAGATTAAACTCTCATTCAACTACATATATTCCTTCAATTTCTGCTCTCTACTGCTTTAAAATATTTTGAAGAACTCCCTTTGCAGAGAATAGATTGCTTGCTTTCCTAGAAATTGAAAATAAATTAAGTAGTATGCCAATTTTTACTTCTTCTAGAACTAGCATGTCATATCATTATGCACACCTGAGAACCACCAGCAAAGAAGATTTGTCAAAAGATTAAAGAGAAGAAAAATGATGCTCGGTAGAAAAGCAAGAATGAACACAATCCTTTCTCCTTGTCTCTATTGAAAATAACTGAATTATTGATCAGGCACTGTATTGAGTACTCTTCATTTGAACACAATGAATTTCAGATCTTATGGAAGATGTGAAGTCTGGACTACTTAGGTGTCCTGGAAACTGCTTCCCATAGAGCCCATCTTCCTAAGAATCTCTCCTGGACATGAAGACTGGGAATGACCAAACTGACAGACTTACACATTTTTACTATGAACTATTTTATACAATTGGCAGTGATAACTGCAGTTGTTCTTTGTCCATAAACACATAGATCACAGAATGCAGGCAAGGATTTACAGTTTCTGCGTTAAGAATTTGAGCAGAAGAATGATGAGACTGTCTTTTAGTCTGTGAGACCTTACCAGCATCTTTGCCATCACTCACTTTAGCTTGCATAAATCATAAAAATGAAACTTGGCTGGACTGCTGAACAAAACATCACTTTGTTTCCAAGTTGAATATAATTGATATATCAATACTGCTATAAAAGAGTCTAGGAATACTCTCAGTCCTACTAGATATGATTCTTTATATTGCCAGGAGAATATTTGTTATGTGGAGATGTATTACCTAATCTACGAATGATTTATAGTTAGTGTATTTAATACCTGAATACGAACAGTATCTGATTACTTAAGAATCCCGCTCCTGAAAAAAAATCAAACTGGCCTGGAGAAATTCCAGAATATTTATCATTTTTGCTCTGGATGGGTCCATATGGGATTCTGTGGCAGAGTAAATGTGAAAAGACATCCTGTTCAGAAAGAAGGCAGCTAACTGGATAGCACTTGTGTCAGGATGCCATATGGTATTCTGGGATAATAGATTACCATTGAGAGAGTGAACAAAGAAGTGTCTTACTGCAACTCCTTTTGCTATTAGTGTAGTGATTGTAAATGGAAGACAAATGTATATCCAGGTGTTAGTGATTAACATAGCAGTTCACCTGAGTAGGTGCAGGCCTGTGCTGTGCTGCACATAGCACTTGGCTGTCAGGCCTGTGTTGTACTGCACATATTCCTTGGCCATAAGATAAACTTTGCTGTCTAATTGTAAAGAAGCAGTCAGCAGACAGCTCCCACTTGGTAAGGGTGATTACAGCACATTTGTGACCTTGCCTTTATCTTAATGTAAGGCAGTACAGTATGTTCTCATGTGAATGTCCTTTTGCTTGACAGTAGAAATGAGTAGAATAATAATAATAAAAAAAATCTTTTGAAATCTCTAAAGACCAAAATGCTAGCAAACCTCTTCACAGAGGGGACCAGCACAGTGCACTGTGCCCGTATTGGAGGTTCATCCAATACTGCACAACTTGAGGTTCCCACCATCTGAAGGAATGCAAGATCATCTTCTTTTTCACATTAACTCCAATAAATGATATTTTAATCAGTATGTTATGGAGTCTGAGTGCCTTCCTTACTGTTATCATAACAAGCACTTGCACCAGTGCATTACAGCTGGGTACCAACCCAGTTGAATTCAGTGCGTATCTGCCAGTATTCTTTTCACCTCAGCTTTTGTACAAATGTATTCAGGAAACTGAAGGAATAGAAAAGCATTTATTATGTGACCCTGTTTCATAATAAGCCTTTCTCCCTGGTGAAACAGGCTTTTTTGATTTTTATCACTTTCTTTTGCAAAGATATCACACTCCAGATAATTACTAAAAGGTTAAACACCTTCTATCGGCGACAGCATTTCACCTGCTCTATTGCTGAAATGCTTAATACATAACAGCACTGCTGAATTGCAAGATACAAAGCATTGCGATTTCAGGGAAGAAGTTGAAAGATAAACAGATTTGCTGCATAGCCAGGAATCTCTCTCTCTCTCTTTGCTCAGGTGGTAGCCATGCTGCTAAGCCACTAGTACTGTGGTATGACACTAAAGTCAGAATTCCAACTGGGTGAATGTGATTAGTCTCAGTATATTTATGATGCTCTGAACTCTGATCTGTTTGAACCACAGGAAACTCAAATATTCACACTCCTCTTGGCCATAGTGAGCACTTGGAACAAGCTCTATGTCTGTAATATTTAAAGAGATAAAAAATAAAACATCCATAAATGCAGTTGAAGGAGAAAACCTAGACAAAGAAAAAAAATACATGTAAGATGAGTCAAGGGAGTAAAAACCCAAAGATTTCTCTTCAACTTGTGTTTCCTGGCACCTTGTTTAATTACTCATGCTTAATTAGGTTAAGAATCATGCAGAAGGCTGGCCAGAATTTGAAGGAGGGAGGACCCAGAGTCCTGGCAAGATGTTCCTTGTCTAGTGGAGTTGCTCCACATTTTGACTTAACAAATCCTGCTTCATGAAATGCTTTTGATGGTGATGTTTTAGGGAGATTTCTCCTTTACAATCAATTAATGTCATCCTGGTACGTGCCAGCCAGCCCTCTACTTGTCCTGGTGGCACAAAACAGCTGGGAGGAAAAAAACAAGCCTGCCAAATGCACACTGTATTTAGGTGTTATTATATCTTAGAACACAGACTCAGAGATCGGAAGTTTAGTCCACCAGCTAATAGTTAATAACATGAAACCTTTTCTTATTAAGCTTTCTCCAGTTGCTGGGAAACTGCAGATCATTGCAGTTAATGTCTTCTCCTGTGTCAGCAAGAAAAATCATGTTTGCTACAGATCTGCCACTTAAAAATGTCTGTGCACTTCAGTCTGTTCCTAATGTACACTTATTCATTGATTTGGCAGACACAGTTATATTTCATGGACTTAATCACTAGGTCCCCAAATTGTTCTTAAGTGACACATTGAATGACCAAATTCTCTTTGTTGTCTGACTTCCAGCCATGGCTGGCTAGATTCATAAAAAAGACTGTCTCTAAAGTCTGCCTTGATAATTTGCATGGAGGGTACTCTGGAAAAATTTTGAATGGCAGAAATCTTCTGTAATTACATTCACTTTTTTGGCACAGAAAAACTGGTCATCAGTCAAAACTGGAACTTTTAGGAATTTAAAGAATTTTTAAAAGATGAATATACAGTCAGCACACAAATTTTCCTGGCTTTCAAAAAGAGATCTTATGATTGTTCTAGATTTGGAAAAATTTGTCTGTGTTTTAGGACTCTCAACCACTCAGTGCCCATAGAAGAATGCTACTTATTTACTTCAGTGAAACATGCTCAGATCTGCTAACAACCTTGTGATATCCCAGAGAAGGATATACCACTGCACCCTTGCAGAGTACAATACCCTTGTACTTGTAGAGTACAAGAATATCTGTATTTTGAACAATGTTTATGACTGATTTGTATCCGCTGTTTAATTCCTGAAACATAGGTAAAGAACACTTTCTTCTGCTGTCCTCCCCATGAAGTGACGTGAGGAATCTGAGATTTCCTCCACCAACACCTCTTGGTGGTCTTTGGTTAACTTGAAGCTGAGGACCTAAGCAGAGTATGTAGAACTATCTTGAAACAGCTCTATTACCTAAGAACAACTCTGCTAAATTAAACAAAAGGTCTATCTATCACAGCATCATGTACTTAAATGACCAAAAGCAAATACCAAAGAACAATATGCGAGGAGGGCAGGTACTTTTATCATACTCTCACATATTCTCTCAGCCTAAGTAATTTTCTCATTCAAAGACAGCCAACTCTTCAACTAGATATGATTCCATTTAACCTCATCTTTAATAACCTTTTAGGAAAATCCAGCAAACCTCTTCAGTAACCCTCAAACTGATTTCTCTTGTGTTAACTTTTTCTAGTCTCCCTTGTGGCCAATATACATTTTCAGCTCTCACAGCATTTGGAAGAAGTTTTATAGCTTCTACCCATTGCAAATTTGAAGAACAACTTAATTGCCTTGTTTGGAATCTGACTTTTGTCAGCTTCATTTGGTATCTTTTTAGTTTTTGTATTGAAAGAGATCACAAACTGTCTCTACCCTCTTTGTAACAATTATGATTTTCAAACTCGGAATCACAATCAGCTCTTTTCCACAACGAATTGTCCTGTCTCACTTAGCTCATATAAAAAACTTTGCACCTTCTCTGAATTTCTTTTAGCACAATTATGTTCTTTTTGAGATAAAAGGACAAATATTATACTCAGTTTTCAGCAGGCAAGTCAACCGTGCATTTAGGCAATAGCCCTCTTTTGTTCTCTGTTCTTCTCCAGATAATACCTAATTTTCATTTTCTTTGTTGGTCACTACCGAGCATTGAGCTGACATTTTCATTGAACTCTCAATCATCACTTGAAACTCTTGATACCAAACAGTAATGATCAGCTCAGACCCACTGTTTTACACATAAAGTCAGAAATATTTTCCTACACACATATCACTTCCCATCATTTACACTGAATCCTTACAAAAGAGAGAGTTTAATCTACCATTTTACTGCTGAGTTGCTCAGCCTCCTAAAGACCAGCAATCCTGATCACATCACTGCTTATTCTCTTTTCTAGGTTGTTTATGACTATGCTGAACAGCAAAAGTCCCAGAAGTTGGGGTTTTTTTTTCATTTTTTTTCCTCATTCTGAAGAAAGATTGTTTTACCCTTCAGTTTTTTCAACCAAAGTTTAATAAGACTTAGTTGAAAATTTTTTCTCTACTGTTGGATTTTTTGATCTAGGGCTATGTCTTTTGATTTAGTACTTAGATCTTCTCTTAAATCTGTCTGTACCTTTTACTGATATCTTCCTGTAAACATCAAGTACTATCAATTCCACATTCTGCAAATCTGCAAGTATTTTGTTAGCACCAATTTGTTCTGTACACCACTCTCAATCTATCAACAATATAAACAGATGCACTGGGATGGTTTCAGTATGGCTTACATTTTCTACTCTTTCTCCTCATAAATTTCGAATGTTTTTCTTTCATAGGGATCCATCTGATTTTGCTGTTGCTGTTAGTATGCTAGTACCTCATCAGTGCCCAGATGTCTTCAGTGTGCCCTTTGAGCAACAAGCAATTGTATTTCTAAGCAATTTCTCCTCTAACTCACTTTCCTGGGATCTTTTCATCTTCTCTTTTTCTGATGAAGTCAAAATATTTTAGGTTTCTGTTTGGACACAGTGCATGACAATCCTGTTTTTTTCTTTTAGTATCGTATCCTTTTTCCCTACATGGTGTGCTTTAGGTAGGTCATCAGTAGCTTCTGTTGTGGCCAGCAAACAAGAGTTATGCCTTGTCAATACACCTTTATTTTTTATCAGGTATTTTGCCATAGATAGTTAAATAGCATTTCTTGATGGCTTCTGGTTTGAGGCTAAACCACTACACTTGATAGCATTTAATTACTTTATTTCATGTATTCTAAATTGCTTGATCTATTGTGATTCTTCCAAAAAGGCTTAGAGATCCAATCTAAATTGTTGGAGGGCTGGCTGGCAAGTGCATCGTTTGCACATAGTTCACCTTGCAATATGGATAAGTCTGAGGATGGATAATGCAAATGAAATTCAGATGTAGACATCAGTGTTTTTCTAGGTACCCATATTCATTTCAGCATAACGTCTCCCATATCAGCATCAGAAATTCAAACTGCTGCTAGTTTCCAATAACCATCAGCTGCTATGTGAGGCACACTGTCAAACAGATACACTATTTGTAAGATGCAGTCCTTTATAAGTACACACTAAAATGCAATTGGCCAAAGTGATCAAAAATGATGAGATAGTTAAATGCACCTTCCACACAGGCAAAATGCTCAAAAATTCAGTAGCAACTCACATAAATAAAAAAACCTCTAATAAAACTGGTATTCTGGCAGCCAAATTTCATTTTGGAAAAGCTACCATACAAATAAAGCTAACTCTGATTTTGCCTCCTGATGGTATCAATCACATGTATCAACCCTAATGCTCTGACTGTATGTTTGCTTCCACTTGTTGACAGCTCTTCGCTATTCTCAACTCTGTTCACAAACAGCAGCAAGTTCCAAATGTGGATTACTATTGTTATTATTCTTGTATAAGAAAAGACTACTTAAGAAAACTTACTATCATGCCTTCATAATAGCATGTTTATCCAAGTACTGAAGTCATGATACAGTTTTTAGTCAATTCTTACTTAAGCAAAGTCAAGTTTGTTTAATCAGAAACAAGTTTGATTTGCTATAGGTTCCAAAGTACAGTATGTTGTCTTTATCATGGTTTTTTACTCATTAAAGTTGTACAAAGAGATTTTTTTTCTTAAAAACTGTAGAATAGTAAAAGTGACCTTGCAAATATAGAAAGAAAGCAGGTGATAAAATTAGTGAGTAAGCAAAAAGAAAGAGCTATCAAGGCAAATAAAGGCTCTGAAATGTTGAAATGTTTTATACCATTAGTTGTACTCACTTTCCCCTCATCTCTTGGGCTGTCACTTAAATGTACAACTGGCCCAGGGTGAGTCTTTGTGGATCTGCAAGACAAAAATCAATTCAAATCTGTGAATGTTTTTTGTATGAAGAGCTACATGCTTACCTTAAATTGTAGGTGTGTTAACACATACCTCCAATGGTTTAAAAGTCATTCTAAAAAGCCCAACAGGGGAAGATAACTATCTGAAAGCTTTCCATATCTTTTCACGTTCTCCTCTATTTCCTTTTTGCCAGTACAGGCAAAGATTCTCCTCTGTAGATGAATCCTTTCTTCTATTTCTTTAAAAAATCTCACTATTCCTCCTATTACATTATTTGCCCCCTCTCATTTCTAAGGCTTTTTCCCTTTTCTATTCTCCACTCTCCCTCCTTCTGCCCTCCCCTCCTCACTTGCTCGATTTCAAGGGTAATCTGCCAAGGATTTGCAAAGTCTTCATTGGGTTAATTTCAAATGCTGATAACGAGACTCACCAAGTTTGAATGTCATTAATGATAGGGCTTCAGTAATCTCACCTACACTGCTCTATCAGGTAGCTGCTTAGCATTATTGCAGAGAGGTTTCTGAAATGGAGCATCTTGCCTTTGTCTATTCTGTAATGCCCTATGACATCTTCAGACCAACTAATACAGTTACACCCACAATGCAATGCATGTTCAGTGAGGCTCCTCAGCCAATAAGACCCATTCCATAAGTCTTCGTAGGCCTCTGTAAAGATTACTTATTGTTCTTGCTGTTCCCTCTCTTTCTGTAACATGTACCAACAAAGTAGTATGCGATTTCATACAGGGGCTGCTGCTTAAGTCATTGATGCCCAGCACCTGACAGCAAATGCAAATCATAGGAAACTGAATGGATAGATGAAGATTTTTCAACTATCACCTTTTCTGACCAGACCTTTAGGCCCTGGCAGTCATACAGAGCAAGAAGACAAAGGCTATTTGAATGCCTGCACAGAACAGGACCTGTCTTCTGTCTAGGTTCTGGGGTCAGAGCACATGTCCCTTGGAGTTCAGCTTAGGTTCTAGACTTGTGTGGCTGGTCTTGGTTCACCAAAGGTCACCAGGAAAAAAAAATATGGCAGAGATTGGCAGGGCCCATAAAGCTAAGAATTGATCTGGAAGCCATACCTAAAACTACCTAGGCTACAAGTTTTAAAGCAATCTACAAGAGAATTAAAGAAACAAACCAAAACAAGGTTCTCCAGCCAAACTGCTCAAAGGATTTTCCTAAATGAACAGTGTTGCTCTTCCTTTGGCTCAAATACTGCACTATAGCAAAACTGGCCTCTGTTCTACCAGGTCAGACTCCAAATCAAGATTGAGAGTGGTATGCAAAAATTCCCAGGCCACTCAATGTATGCCTTGTTCCCAGGCAAACATTAAAATACTGTGGAGTAATCCATATCCTCATAGACTCCTCCTTCCCAAAACACTATGTTCCAACACTCTTAAAAGCATGAACATTTTCCTCTGACCTCTATTTTTTGCCTGTAGAATGTTTTCAATATTTCAGCTATTTGGTTATGCACCAAAGCTGGGCCAAAGCAGAATGGCAAAGACCTTGTCTGATATTTACCTCTGAGCTAAAGATAATGAAAAATTTTTCCAGAGATCCTTAGACCTTCCAAACTAAGTTCATTCCAGGCCAAAGAGATAGAAAACTTCGTCACCTAAAGGCCAGACAACTTTCCAAGACTATACCCCACCCCTCACATACGTTTTAACATTACTTCTAGCTGCATATACAAAGCTAGTGGCAATGTGGCAAGCCCCCTCCTTGGTGAACCTTGTCCATGAGATGATGCCAAAACACCATCTTCAGCTTTGGCAGATCATGTTTCCACAAATATCCGCAGCATGGTACTTTTCTACATGAGGTCTTGGTGAGAATGGCTTTGGCAAGAGCATTTTGCAACATATCCCGGCACAGAAGTGAGATTCAGAAGGAAAGCAGTGGACAGTCAGTTTATAGAATAATATTCTATATAGAATATCTTTAAGCCAGCATCAAATACCTGTTTGGCTTGAGACATGGCACACAACAATTTTTGCAAAGATGCAGTTAGTGGGAGATCTGATTGTCATTCCTATCCAAGCCAACTCCCCAGAGGGGTCCCCTCTGGCTGAACTTCTGTTTCTGAGTAACCTGTACTGGAATAAAAAAATAATTTCCACAACACCGGACCTGGGAGCAGGCAGGGTAGATAGGCAGTGATGGGGAACTGAGAGGTGAGAGGAGGACATTTGCAAGCAGTGCTTAGACCCACACACATCTTGTGCATCTGTCCTCATGGAGTGAATATGAATGACATCTTGGGACATTCTAGGCTTCTTTGAACTTTGTTTCTGACATAGGTTCACCTATCTGAACTGGTCAGAGTATGTTGATGGAAAGAACTAGTTCTGTTTGGGGTACATTCTGCCTGTGCCATGATGGGCAAAGAAGGAAGGATAAGAAGAAGAAGAAAAACAGTGAAGAGAAGAGGCAGCATAAGAAATTTTACTTTTTAGCCAGATAAGAACCACTGACAGATAACAGAAGAGGGAGCATAGCCAAGCAAACATGACTAAGTCGGCAACAGACAAAATGGTGGAAGGAGCACATGCAGGCTGACAAGGGATACTGCTTTTGGTGGTTATCCTAGCCCATTGAACCAACCAGTACCGAGGCTGGGTTGCTTGGCCATACCAATATTGGTACTTGACCAGAACTGTTGGCAAAATTGGGGCAGATGGAGGGAGAAAGGGAAAGAACACACTGTCTTCTAAGCTAAAGGTTGAGCCCATCTGGGCTGCTCTATGTACCTATCAATTTTAAGTCAAGAAATCTGTGCAAACACTATTTTCTTTTTAAGATACATATGTCATTGCTTATGAAAGAATGTATCCATTTGTCTTTGGGAAGGAGCAAACTCTTACATGAGCTGTAGTCACTCTACATTACATCTAACTTTAGGCTAACTATACTTTTGCTGTCACACAAACTAGTTGTTCCTCTGCAAAAGATATAAAACTTTCTTTTACAACCAGTCTTATTTTTATCTTATATTCTTGCAGGGGCGTAGCATCAGATTTCCATGCTACGACCTCAGCTAAAAGGGGTAACCTTCACTAATACAATACATTTTCCTACCTTCTCCATTTCTCTCTTGAATCTATTGTAAATGACAGTTAGAGGATCCTGGGATTTATTACATTGTAATAAAATTTCTTTCTGCTTTTCAGGATATTAGGTACTTTTTGTTTCTTTTAGGGGTATTATCTTTCCATTATTAGGTTTCTAGCTATTTCTTTAGTTTTGTTGAGTAAGAGCTTCATATATATTATCAGCAAAGTTGATACCAAACACAGAAGTCTGTGCAATAAATGTATGAGATTTTATTTTTCCTCATTCTCTTGTCTCTATATTTAAGTATTATTTTAATATTTAAATTATCTTATGCCTCATTATTTTAATAGTTTAGTTGCTTGTCAGGTATGTCACTCCATGAAAAGACTCAATGAACCATTGTTTTGCTTTCACATGCATACCACTAGTCTTTGGTTCTGTTCTTGTTATCTCTTTTACGTCAAATATTGGGTGTACGTGTCAAGGCGTTGGCAGTGGGGAGTTGCAGGGGGAAGGGTCTCTGTGAGGAGCTGTGTTGGTTTTGCGTGGCAAGGTTT